ACTAGTGTAACTGCTGTTACTACTACTGTAACTACATATGTCCTGTATAATGCACAATACTACTGCTACTGTAACTACTGTAACTACTGTTACTACCACTGTAACTATATATGGCCTCTATTATACACACACTACTGCTACTACTGCTACTGCTACTTGCACTATTTACATTTATCTTTTATTTATGTGCGTGGGAGTGAGAAACACAATTTCGATTATTTGTTTTTCATATGAAGAATTGACAATAAACATTTTGAGCTTTAACTTGAACTTTGAACTACTGCTACTATCTCACTGCTACGTACTACTACATATGACCTCTATACCCTTCTATACTTAGAATATAACCACAGAGACAAATCCGGCTATGGACTCCAAATCTCTCATTTTCTCTTTGCCATATTGCACAAAGCTTTTCTGGAGAGTTTAGAGAGAAACAGAGATAAGTTACACAATCAGAAAAACTGACATTTGAAAGTGCAGCTGATTGAAATGTCAAAGGGCAGCTGGGTTTGATGTGATTCCCCACATTGTCAGACAGTAATAGGCACAGAAATTATTGGAGACGAAGCTTTACTTAATCCCTATATATGTGTGTGTCTGTGTGTGTGTGTGTGTGTGTCTGTGTGTGTCTGTGTGTGTCTGTGTGTGTGTGTGTGTGTGTGTGTGTGTGTGTGTGTGTGCTCTCTAAAATGGCAGTAATCTGACAGCACAGTAGTTTGACAGACGGCAGAATTGGACCGTTTATGAAACAAGGCACGTATTTCTTTTTATTTCTTTGGAAAATATTTAAACGCAAATTTGACTCTTGAGAACTTTGAGCATAGACTGTATCTTTAAGGCGAGTTATAATTTTGTGACCTTATCAAAAACATACCTGGAGTTTCACCTTGTGATGTCATGAAGCAGTAGTTTTCAAGTTAACAGCCACCTTTTTTTGTTTTTGATCAGAAAATGGTGTAATATGGGTCCTTTAGTGGTCAAATAAAACTAATTTGATTCAGACAGTGGACTTATTTTGACCACTTATACAACACATCATTCTGGGTTGAGAACTATGGAACTATGGACTTTCTTCTTTTATTTACATTACACCAGTTGCGTGAGTCCTATTGATACTTCTTGATAGAGTTGATGTCATTAACATTCCCTGGGTTTGTGGGGTATTTAAGAGCTCCTTTATCATGTGAATAAATATTGTGAAAAATATTAAGCTCAGAATTGACCTTTGACCCTTATTTGGCAGTTCCTGTACTCTGCCTTTGTATCATGAGCCAGAAAAAAGGAGTCGTGCGAAGCCAAAAGGCAGTAACAGTGTATGTTTTGATTGTGATTTAGTGAATATATATATTTTATTTGAAAATCCAACCTTCTCATCGCCTTTTTTTTGTTGCAGCCTTGGCACAGGGTCTTAACACATTCAATAAATAAACCTTTGTATTCAGTTCTACGTAAATTATCTTTAATGTGAAAGTATTTTGTGTATGTATTCATACTGTACATACTGTACTGCTGTGTAAGTAAGTAAAGACTTCTAAATCAAAATTCCCTTTATTTACTGTATAAGTTTTTTCCTTCCATGCCTAAACTATTGTGTGGAAATATAGGGGAATACTTACAAATCAAATATTTATAACATTTTTTTTTACTACAAAAGAAGGTTATTAGGATTATTAATCATTCAAATTTCTATGCACCAACAAATTCACTTTTTGTTAAGCAAAAGTACTTACATTTTTTGATCTTGTTGACCTAAGTACAACTGTAGTGATGTACAAGGCTTATAAGTTATTTGAGCAGATAGAGAGTTGGTATAACCTTAGAGGAGCAGGTATCTTTAAAAAAATGAAGATAAGAACTAAGAAAAAAAGTGATTGTATTTCTCAGAGGGGTTAGTATATGGAATAACCTGTGTGATGATTAAAAAAGTCTAATACTGTAGAAGCCTTTAAAAAAGACTATAAAGCATTATGTTTTGAAAGATATAAAGCTTTGGAAGAATGAATTATGCATTCAATTTTGTTTGTTTTAAATTATATTTTGTCTCTTATATCTACAGTAAGTCATAAGTGAAATCGTAATTGTTAACTTGCTGTTCATACACTTCTTTTTTCTTGGAATTCTGTCATTGTTTAATAGGGTTAGGCATTGTAAGTACATTTTCCTTCAGCCTAAACCCTTTCAGTCATGATCTATGGGATTGTATGCTGCTAAATTTCTAAATAAACTACTACTACTACTAACTTGTGTCAAACAGTTTAACTGCGTAACTGTTGCCGCACGATCCTGATCAGCACGGAATAAGAAATCCAAAGCTCTTCTATATAATTTCAAATGAACCCCATGATGACTCGACCTTGGTGAGGTGTTCTTAGAATGGATGAAAGTCTGTAGAAAATCAAGCAAATAATGATCATGTTAGTTTCTGCCTGTCTTTGCACGACTCCTTATTTTTGGCTCATGATACAAAGGCAGAGTACAGGAGCTGCCAAATAAGGGTCAAAGGTCCATTTTGAGCTCAATATTTTTCACACACAAATATTTCTTCATTATAGCAACTAGTTGTCAAATTTTGGGAGCCTGTCTGGACAAAACAGAAACTTTGAAGTCATTTCTTTGTCGAGTTAAGGTCTTTTGCCTTTATAGGGCATCTTTAACCTTATCTTTATCTCATCTTTAACGCAATCTGAACAGAAAGAGCTCATTCAGTTGGAACTACAACATATGAGCTGTTTTGTGCACTTAAACAAGGCTCTCATACATAAAATTAGTCTCAAGCTAATTATTATTAGTCAACAGATTTTCAATTAGTCACTCTCACTTTTTTGTTGAAAATCAAACTCCTAAACTGGACTACGGACGCTCGTATTCATCACTGGCTCTCGAAAATGTGTTCATATCCATTCTGTATTTTTCTTGAGATCTTAATAATGCAAACCTTGTGTCTCCATGGTAACTGCTGAACATTCTACCATAAAGATACATGTCGAACACCCCCAGCATGATGTCGCTGCCAAAGTATCAATACACATCAGAGGTAAACACTGAGTAAACCCAAACAAATGACCGAATTCGCCGAGATTAGCAGCGGCCCCGCTCTGTGTACAGCAGGTGCCCGTTCCTCTGACTGACACTGTAATCACGAGGATTAGGACTCAAGTGAGCACAAATGTGATGGAAAATGGTTTGAATGACACGCTAAGCCGTCGCTGTGCGGTAATCCAAGTTTGCGGTCAGAGGAGTCAAATCCAGGTTAAACTGAAGCTGTGAGGAGAACGAATCTGTGTCTACGAGCCAAATCACACTTAGCACTTCTTCAGCCACTTGCAGAAGTAAATATAGATGATTAACAATAATACTGGAACTAATTAACGCCACTGACGTAACAATCCAAGAGCAGATTCAATGGTGCACTATGTAACTTTGTGGTTGGGGGTCGGTCACCTGCTTGTTTCTACAGATATGTCATTGTAATTTATTCCAAAGATTGAAAACAAAAGTACCATATTCGTGACTCTCATTTCTTCAGATATCTTCAACTTCGCAGCATTGTGTCTACCTCATTCATCCTCTTTCCGTCACAGCCACCAGACTCGCTTCTTGAAAACGTTTTGTACTTAAATCCACACTCTAAAGGAATTATTGGTAAAGGTTATGCTATAATATGGAACCTCTGACTTGTGTTAAATTGAAGTTGGAGGAGGAACTGGATACGAAACTCTCTGAAGATGTATGGCAATCTGTTTTAGATAATATTCATTTGTCCTCAATCTGTTTAAGATGGAAAGTTGTACGATTTAAGGTTGTTCACAGACTATATTGATCCAAAGTCGAGCTTGCCAAGATCAAACCAGAACTTGATGCTAAGTGCGATAGCTGTGCCACTGAACTAGGGACATTATCACGTATGTTTGGTTTTGCCCGAAGCGGAGAAACTTTTGACAATCAATTTTCTAGTTCCTTTCAGATGCGTTACAGACGAATGTTGAACCTGAGACCACAACTGTAATATTTGGGATATCGTTACAATCTGTAGACTCCCATAAAAAATATAAAAAATATAATTGGCCTCGTTCACACTAGTACGTATTTGAGTCGTTTTCATTGGGGATGCAGTGGTCGTTCACACTAATCTGATTGAAAACAGCTCCAGAGACGGAATGATCTGGTGCCACCAGCTCCCACGACTTCATTTCAGTACTTATCTGATCTGGCACTGTGTGGACGCCTGAAAATGCTGATACGCTGATGTAGTTTTATGCGCCGCAAAGCAATTCACCGCCAAAACACTAAAAGGCTAGAATATATGTCCATTCATATATATATACGGTCTATGTGTACGACCTGCAGACGTATAATCTCTGAAAAGTTTCACATGAGCCATCTCCAATGCGATAGAAACACTGAACAGACTCACCATCAGCAGAACACCCCTCTGTCACAGAAGGAACACATTTATCTACTGAGTCGTGTCCTTTAGTTTGACAGAAGCTGAACCGCATCAGCGCACAATAGTGAGCTGTTTTTTGAACGCTTAGTTTATGAAAATTAGGTTTTAAGTTTTGTTTCTGTAAACGTAAACACATATGGTGGTACACACTGGACGCAGATTGTTTCCGATACGGTGCTACACGGATTCGTTTCAGTGTAAACGTAGTCTAATATTGCTTAAGTAGAATCTAATGGAATGCTCAATAAAAAACAAGAGAAAAAAGAGAGAAAAACAAGCATTCTGACTATTAGGGAGGTCGCCTCTCCACAGATCTAACCTGTAACTTGGTCTGGTTTGGTCTTCATGAAGATAGAAAGGTTTCATACCATACTGTATTCCAGACAAAATAATAACATCTCCATTGAGAAAAACGTTTAAGGGATCTTCAAATAATTACGCAATGCACTTTTATCTAATGAACCAGCACTTGACTGACTGACTAATGAGGAAGTATGTGAAAACAGTTTTTGATTGACATCTATATCAGTGCCTTGTCTATGCGCTAAAGCCCGTGTGGATGAACACAGAGCTGCAAACCAAACCACCAGATCGCTATCTGAAGGACAGAGCAGCCCTCAGTGCATTCAGCGGGAGTCTGGACCCGTGCCTCTAACCTCTACCATTTCAATGCAAGTGAGTGTAATTAAAAATATATCCCCCACAATAGAAGCAGGTGGGTGAGGTTAAACGGTGGTCCTGATTAACAGATGGTGTGTAATCTGGACAGGAAAATCCCACTGTAACTGAGGGTGAAAATGTGTGAAAAATGTGACGGTCAATAACAATATGTGCGCATTTAGGGCTGGGAGAGATTGTAATTGCAGCTTTTCTGACTAAGTATTGTGATTATGATTTGATTTGACCTAAAGTGAATTTTTCATGACTTTATGGCACCCTGTATGTGTAGAATTGAGCATACTTTTACGGCTAAATATGAAATGTTAACCCTTTCCACTCACCTTATGGTTTGGTATTATAGTTTTTTACCATTCAAAATACTGTCAGTGCATTTATTGTAATCTCAGTCCGGAATTTTGGACTAGGCCCTCATTTCCTAGTGAGCCAGAGTGTTGGAGAAGAGTGGAGAAATTTTTTAAAATATTCCATCCAGTCCTTGTATTTGCAGAGGTCACTGGTGCTAGGCTAGTGCATGTCAATGGCCATAGTTATCCTGCCACTAAAAAGTCTTACCCACTCCACAAAACACCCGAAGCAAATATGTTATCATGCCAGACTGTCGATGTGAATGTCTGTGTTGATAGAATAATTTTAGAAGTAAAACCAACCTTACATTTGAAGGATTTATGTCTGAGCAGCAGCAGTGAGTTGTACTTCCTGATAGAAAGTTTGGCAGTGGCGGACTGATATCACCTCGCACCTACGATACCGGCAAAGTAAAATTCTGCCGCTGCAGAGAAAATAGTCCATCAACATGGACTGGATGGAATATTTTAAAATGTGTCTCCACACATCTCCAACACTCTGGCTCACTAGGAAATGAAGTACTATGTCAAAAATTCCAGACTGTTCCTTTAAACAACAGGCGCAGACGTTTGAAAATAATCATAACAGCCTAATGATAACTTTACTCTGTAGTTGTGTAACAGAGACTCAAAAAATCTATGACTTTTTCAAAACTTTCATTGAATTTACAAAATTCCATGACTTCTCAACGCCTGGAAAATTACATTTTTAATTTCCATAACTTTTCCAGGATTTCCATGATCGTGGGAACCCTGGATGAAGAGTCTGTCACCTGCTTGTCTCCATGCAGATGCTATTGCTTTGCCTGGAATGTTCCACAGCATGGCATTAAATCTATCTATCTCCATGGAAAGAAACATCATAATTAAATTACAATCTTAACATTTCCATGGAGACAAGCAGGTGCCAGATGTCAAACCATAAAAAAGTTACGCAGTACTTCTTTAAAGAGTGCAAAAACGCTCTTTTCTGATCTGTTATAATGTTGTTTACTTGTCAGAAACATATCCAGAGTTGTGTTTTGTTTCATTCACACATGTTTAACACACAAACCCTGAACATTTAAACTGAGCTCTTCTCTCAAACACTCTGCTTCACCTTGTGATGTCATGTGGTGATACAGGAAGTCCACTGTGTTTTTAAACTCCATACACTTTCACTAGAAATATTTGGATGAGTTCAGCCCTGGAATTGCCCATCTCTATTGAACTAAAGGTAAAAGGTAGATGCAAAATGACTGCGTTATGACATCACAAGGTGGAGCAGAACATTTTGAGCTTTCTAGATGTTGACAAACTAATAAAGGATGATGCAAGCGCGTGTGAATGAAACAAAACACAACTCCAGGTATGTTTGTGATGAGGTCACAACATTATAGCATGACTTGAAGCTCAGAAGAGTAAATTTTATGTAATATAGGACCTTTAAAGGTTTATATATTTGAATGGAAGTGAGGTCTTGTTGCATGAGGACATTATAGGCAAAATACCTAAAGTTTCGTAATTTGCTAATTTCAAAAACATTTTATTAGACTGGGGATAATTTTGCAGTTCTTTTATACATTTTTGCAATATAAAATTGGTCACTCTAGTTCTATCTACCCTGAATTGAATTGTTTGTCCTCCAAATAATGACAAATAGGTATTTTTCAGCACCCATAATTAAATCTGGACAGAAAAAGATATTGCGTGAGCTGTTTGGCTGTGAACTCCATGGACTGTTTTAACCTTGATGTGAAATTGTGAATCTAAAAACAGACCGCGATAAGAGACAACTGCTTTTTCTACTGATAAAGAAATGTCTGGAAGATTTATATATCCACTGCTGCTGGGCTAATCTCGTCCTTCTCCTCATACATACCTATTCCTAAGGGCACCACCGTGTTAAAGGAGCTGTACTTGATTTTTACTGAATTAAAAAAACAAAACAGTTTATTTAGTTGCACTGTGTAACTTTTCTACATAGTGGAGGGTCCTTCAAATGTTTTTCTCCATGGAGATGTTATTGCTTTGTCTGGAATGTTTCACAATATGGCATTAAACCTTTATATCTTCATGGAGACCAAACCAGACCAAGTTACAGAGGCGACCCCGCTCACAGTCAGAATGTCTGTTTTTCTTGGATTTTTTTGAGCTATAAAACCAGTTGTAATTGAATAAAAGTAAAGTAGAGCTGTTTAATGTCATACTGTGGAACATTCCAGGCAGAGTAATGAGGTATCCATAGCAACAAACATAAGATTGACCCTCCGAAAAGTTGCGCAAAGCATCATTAAACAGTTTGCTGTGGGTACAAGTTTCCTCACTTACCTTATACATTCAGAGCTTCCTAATGTTTCATATAGATTAGAGTTTGCCATCATGGTAAAGCTAACAACAACTTGCATGTTAACCTCACACTTCCTGATTCTCGGACAAAAAGATGCTTTATAATTGGATGCAGACAGTACACAGCGGGCTTGTTTTGGCCTCAAAAGCTGCTTACAATAAGACAGACAGATACTTTATTTATCCCAAAGGAAATGTATTTTTATCAGGGTATCCCCAGGTTTGACTACCCCAAATGTAAGACTTTTTAAAGACCTTTTTTAAGACCACTTAAAATGAAAATTAAGACCAACATCGCAACCATTATGCGGGCGAAAAACACCAGATTCAATTCTAATAATGACCAACCAACTGTACTTTATCTAGAATCTAAGAGCCACTGTGGAGTAAACCTTCACTTCCCCATGATCCATCCAACGTCTTCCTCCACTCCACTGATTGGTTTCTGGCGCTGGTAGCAATGAGTAAACAAAGTATTGTTTGCGCATACTCCAAATTAGCCGTCCATTCAGGTTACATGATTTCATGCTGTTGTTTGTTTTCCTCCCTCTGTTTAACATTGCACTGCAGCCCAGTTGAGTATACAAAAAAATAGGCTAATGAAATTTAAGACCTTTGTGAAAAAAAATAAGACTTGGACAACATAACTTCAGACTTTTTAAAGCCTTTATTTCGGAACATGAAATTTAAGACCTTTTTTTAGACTTTTAAGACCCCGTGGCTACCGTGTTTATAGCAGATTTTGCTCAATTGGTGGATACAAGCATTTTGAACCTATATATAATTTTGTAATTTTAATGAATGAGTAATAAATGACCTTGTACGGCAAGTTGCATCAGAAAAAAGAGTAAAAAGTATCTCATTTAACTTCAATTTTGTCATCTTTACTGCATTAAATATAGACAGCATTGGGGAGTAACAGATTACATGTACCAGAGTTACGTAATCAGAGTCCAAATTGTGAGTAACTGTATTCAGTTACAGTTTCAATGAGTGGTAATTGGATTACAGTTACTTTGTTGCAATAAATCAATTACACAGCGGTATTTTCCTGTTTTCACATTTTGGGCTATATTTCTTTTTTTTTTTTCAGTAATTCCACTCATTGCCGTAAACTAATCCAGGACTAAACCAAGACTAAACCAGGACTAAACCAAGACTAAACCAGGACTAAACCAGGACTAAACCAGGACTAAACCAGGACTAAACCAGGACTAAACCAAGACTAAACCAGGACTAAACCAGGACTAAACCAGGACTAAACCAGGACTAAATCATGCTGTGTGGACCGTGTCTCCTCCTCTTCTATCAATAATATTTTTAATTTGATTAAGTAAAGTCTGGGCTTTTTATTGTCTTTTATCAGACAAAACATTTTATGTTATGATTTCCTAGTCTTTGCTTCTCTACAGCAAATCAAGTAATCCAAAGTATTCAGATTACATTACTCACGTTCAGTAATTTAATGGATTACGTTACAGACTACATTTTGGTGTGTGTAATCTGTAATCTGTAGGGGAATACATTTTAAAAGTAACCTTCCCAACACTGGATATAGACTAGATGTTGTGCATTTTGTTTTCCTTTGTGTTAAAGTTAAAGGACAGTTAAAGGTGCATTGTGTAACTTTTCGGTTGGCGCTCCGTCACCTGCTTGTTTCTATGGATACGTTTCACAATATGACATTAAACAGATCTACCTTGCATTTATTCAGTTACACTAGGTTTTATAGCTCAAAAATACATATACTATAAAACAGGCATTCTGACTGTGAGCGGGGTCGCCTCTCCACAGATCTGACCTGTAACTTGGTCCAGTTTTATGGTGATAGAAAGGTTTAACTCCATACTGTGAAACATTTCAAACAAACCAATAACATCTTCCTGGAGAAAATCGTTTGACGGACCCTCAGCAGAAAAGTTACGTCTTTACTTTGATAAAACTATCTGTCCCTGGCATTTGCTTCTTATATTTTAAGATGAAGACGCGACATCATTTAGTCTCATTTTTTCACTTCCAGAAAAACTGCAATGTTCTTTTGTGATATAAAAGTGACACTGAAATTGCTAATGTCTTTTCTCTTCTTTTTCTTTTTTACATTTTCTGCCGTTCCCACTTTGCATTTTTCTTTTATTTATTACATGGTGATTTTCATGCTCTCATTGATGTAGACATTGGTGGATTCTGCTTATGCATAGAGATATTCAGTATAAATTCATCTGAATGCAAGTACAGATACTGTCCTGTATGAGGTAGAGGGATATTTCTTTCACAAATCATTAGTGGTTAGCATGTAGCGTCT